CCAAGTAAGGCCCAGCGTAGGATATAGACTATCAGAATCTTCTGAAAACTCATCTCACAGTATTTAAAACCACACCTGAATAGTAGATTTAAATGCAAAACATTTGCACACTTTCCAGTGGAGAATGTCGCCTGCCTTAGGGCAAGATATCACAATAAACTTGAAAAACCCAAAATCTGGTAACTTTTTTCCTTATTTTTTTATAACAGAAGGAAATACTAATGCTGCTTCACTGAGGTTTACTTTTTCACAGGAAGGAATTTCCCCTTTTGTAGAAATAAGAGTATTTCCAAAGAAAAGATAATGTCAAGCACATAAACACAACATTAAACATCCTAACAATTAAGGAATTTCTGGTTTGCTGAGGTTGTTTAACGTCACCTCCCATTTCTTTCAAGTTGATGGAAGACAGTGATATTTAACTTGCATAAACATTTTGCATGAACTTTTACAAGCTATATGCAGCATTCAGTTCTTAATCATAGTATTTGTTCGCTGTTGGTATATTCTTGGCTTTTGACAAAACCCAATTACACAACTGTGTCGGTCCTTAGGACAAGACCCAAAATAGCCCCAAATGCGCATCCTCCTCCCCGCCCACACCTTCGCTCCCTGCTCTGGGGCACATCAAACCCGTAACCAGTTGTTCAGCTGAAACGGCACTTCTGAGTCCTGAGCAGACACGTACACACAACTTTTCCAGCACCGTAACACCTCAGCTGTGTCACCTCCTGCAACAGGAGCCCAGGGGACAAATGCTCCGCCTGAAACCTGCGGAAGCCACTGAGTGTGATGCAGAGGAGGGGATGGAGGAAGAAGGGGAAAGGGGGAAATCACACACATCAAGCCCCACGTGCCCCCTCCGATTTTCAATGTTCCTCGAAGACCAGGAAAGAATTAGTTTTGTTGCCAGCAGAGAAAAGTCAGTTTGACAGAAAAGTCAGTTTGTCTCTTGGCAAGAAACTGGTGTGATCATTCTAAAAACAAGGTGTTGGTACACAAATCTAAAGGAACTGTAGGAACAGAGCAATATCACCTGTGCATGCAAACTAATAATAGCCATTAGGAGGGAATCCACTATTTTAAAAGACTTAGTTATAAATATTACACTTTTTCCTCACTCATAACATTAACTTCCTTTCCACAAAATCACACACATAAAAAGCCCAAAGTCAGAAAACAGAACACAGTATCAGACAGCAGAGGGTGACGTTACTGAGACAGGAGATTGACACTGACCAACCTGACCAGACATCACTATTTACTGGTTTATGGGAAATAATGGTGGTAGTGCAGTACAGCTTTTGGTGGAGGAGAATGATTTGAAATGATTCACAGGTCCTTTCCCTACCTCCCCACTGAAAGAAAATAATTTTTAAAAGTACATGAGAAATACAAACATATTTGTCATCTAAGTCTTGAAAATAAAGCTATTCAGTTCTTCTTCTGCCATCATCATTAACAGAACTGATAAACACACAAACTCTTATTCAACACTTCAACAGACCAGCTGAAGGAAGTGTCGTCGTTACACATCGTTATACATCATCAGCCGGGACACTGAGGCCGAGAAGCGTTATCTGAAATTCCCTGTAACCTCGAGACTTCCTGGATCATAAATACCATCCAAACTTACTAATCACAAAGGAACATTCCCCTTATTTGTCAATCTTTGTAGTGGATTTCGTAAGTCACATTTCAACAATTTATTTCTATCTAAATATTTCTGCTTGTCCCAGTTTTTCCCATGACACTTCAAAACTGCCTATCGCCCCTGCCAATTTCCAGCTTTCTAAAACCGTGCATGACAGTGACCCTCTCCTCAGAGCCCGTCGGCCAAACCCACAGCGATCACACAGGGGAAAGAGGACTTAAAAAAAATAATAAAGTCAGTGAAAGGCCACGATCTCGGAAGCAAAGCACCCCAGCCCCAAGATAATAAGGAGATTTTCTTCCTCTTCAACCTGAACTACACATTTACATTAGTTCTTCCAACTACATTCCTTACTCCTCTTCTCCTCCGTTGTGGAGTCTTCATTATGCTTAAAATGCAGCTCTTCCATGCTAAAGATGATGCACCCTGGAAGAACCTTGTGGAGAAGCCCCACTCCCATTATGAAGCTGCTGTAGGAAGACACCAGCTGATGGCAGGGCCAAGGGCACGCATCCTGCAGGAACTGGCCATGGGCTAAGCCCACCAAGAACCCCATGCCATAGACCATGCCTTGCTTCTCCAATATTCTATATTCTACTCCACTTCCCAATGCCACAGAGCTGTTCCTTCCCACACACCGCCTGCACAACAGGAACAGAAAAAAATAGGTATTTCTGTCTCTAACTCAACTATGATTATAAAAGGAAATACAAAAAAATTTAAACAGTCTTTACTGTAGTTAACTTGGATAGAACTTTTAACCACCTTCAAATCCACCTTAGTATCGTTAACTACCAAGCACATTAATTACCTGGAACACAGTTCCTCAAATAATTAATTAGCTAAAGTGACCAAGAATTGGAGTCCCAAAGGAAATTCTTCTAGTTCTGTAGAATTACATAGATTTCACCTCATTAAATGCTACAACTCTACCTGAGGCCAATTCACCTAAATGCACATGACAACTGTCCCTTCATCTATTCAGCTGCAGAATCCTGAGACCAAAACAAATGAAAAATCCCCACACTGACTGAAGGAAGCTGGCGCGTTCAGCACTGGATATCCTGTTTAGTCACCAGCAATGAAGAAGAGTATGTGAGTAACACTAAAGAAAAACTTTTGATTCGCAGCACATTAGACATCTTTCTTAACAGGTACCCTCTCTACTTCAAACAGCAGTTATCACAGGGCAACCAAATCAAAGGCAAACAAGTTTTAGGCAGGACTTCAAACTGGACTTCTTTCGAGCCACATGAATAAGCTGCACTAACAGAAATAATTCAAAACTACAGTTATGTACATGGACACTAACATTAAAAAATATCTCTTCATCTCCAGCATACTTCAGTTTTCACAACTTCTCTGCTGTTATTCATCACATCAGCTGCGGGGCTGTACGCAAACAAGTTTATGTTCTAGAACGACCGATAAGAACATCAAGAGAAGTAATGCTTTGCTTCTCCTACTCTTCCAAAAAACCTCCATGCTGTCTCTCTCATTAGCTGAGCCCTGCATCATTTTCCCCCAAGGTAAGCAGGGCACAAAGGGAACGAACTGGGCAAAAGGCACAGTAGGGCAGTCAGGACAATGCAGGGAGCAGCTGGGGACTCTGAAGAAAATACAACTTAATTAAGGACTAACGTGTAACTTGCAAGAACTTCGAAACACTAAAAATCAGCCTTCTCCCCCGTGTAAAGTGTATGTTATAAACTACTGATTATTTTTGGCAACAAAACCGTAAGACTAGATACATTGTAACTTATTTCTTGTACATTTTATACATACCACTTTATAATTAGATTTTTATGCACCTGAGTGTTCCAATACACACCACCCACAAAAGGACCGACTGCAGGACAACACGCTGTGGGGTGGACAACCCCCAGTTCCCGAGCTGTGCCCAGCTCCCCAGGGATGCTCTTCAAGAGCATCTGTAGGCTTAGAAAACTTTGAAGAACTGTTGGTTAAATGGATTGATACTTTTAGAGGTGTTGCGGATCCTTGACTTCCACTTTCATTGATGAACTTCTAACTTAGCACCTAATTTTGACAGCTGCTACATCACAGCCAACTTATGCAAATCTTTTAAGTCACACAAGTCTTTTAAGAGGTCTTTAGTAACAGGAGCAGCCAAAATAATGGAGACAATTCAGCAGTCACAGGATGCAGGACTGGGCACTTATGAACAAGAATTATTTTGGATAAAGAAAATATTCCCTATAAAGGGGAGCTAAAAACATGCAGCACAGAATGTAATTTAGTATGAATCAGTCTGAACTTTTTCCCAAAAGACTGTGTATCTTATCCTGAACTAGCATCTGGGAATAAGGAAGAAGTACTGTCTGGGCTCCTTGGCTAAACTTTTAGCTCAGACATTTTTACTAAAGAATCAGCTACTGAAAGACGAGTGAAGGTTTAATCTTCCCAAAAAGGCTGGATTCACGAAATAGATGACACTACTAGAAACTAGAGGATGCCAATACAAAAATGTTATGTTTGAAAACAAGAAAGACAAAACCAGTAATATAATCTAAAGAAATCAAACGCAGAGAATAAGCTCCGAAATTCCAATACCTTAATTCACTTAGAATTAGTTTAGCAGGTTTTGGTAAAAAGACACTTGCAAGCGTAAACTAATAAGCAGGAGAATCTCTTCCTCCTCCCCAGCAAGGTTAGATGAAAAGTTAGTAAACACAAACATTTCTCAGACAAAAAAATAGATTTCCATTTTCCTTAACCTAATGCCATTCCCTTCCTCACAACTATCAAATAATTGAACACATTTAAAGTGTGAACAAGAAAAGCTTTTAGAAACATAATTTAACACAAGCATGTGGACAAAAAAACACAACAGAAGAGAAAAGAGAATCTGATCTATTATGCCCAAAATTAATAGTACAGTCTCATTTTGTGAGGAGACAGAAACAAAAGCCTTACGTGCTCTAAGTAAAGCAAACTGCTTTCATTTTGTACACTAACAGGAGGCATGTTTACAGCAGGATGAATCAATGTGCTATAGCAGAGGTAAATCAGTGTCAGCCATGTTGAGAAAGAAATTGCAGCTAAAAAAACAAAAACCCGAACCACAAAACTTAAGCCTTAATCAAATCGGCTACACTGAACCTTGATATAAATCATTTCATACTGTTAGCTCTTACTTATTATTGGTGCATGACTTCTTCCAGTTAATGTCGATTAATCTCATCTAAAAATACACATCCAAATTCTAGACACTGCGAAACAGTAGCAAGAAGAAAATATACCAAGCTATAAAGCCACAGCAACGACTACTGTGTGGCGCACAGGCATAAGGTAGGTTGTAAAGTGAAAAAACAAATGCACTTACTCAGCATTAAATCCATTCACGTGCAAGATCCTCATCTGTTTGACTATTGTGCTTTTACCGGATTCACCAGCACCTAGAAAATGAAAGTAAATTGATTTCAGAAGGAAGCATGAGTGATGAAGGGACACGCTACAATTTTTTCTTCAGGGTAAAATCGAGAAAGTTGGTTTTATCAGTGGAAGAGTGAAAAGTGAAACAAAAAGAAATAATTGCCACTGGAAACTTCAGTTGTAGCTAAAAATAAATGCCCAGCTCAAGTCATGTGTCAGATCTGAATCTTGGATCATTTCACTGTCCATTTTTCCAGTGTCAACGTTAAACGCAGATTGCAGGGTTTGGAAGGAAAAAGGACAATTTCAACATTTTATAGAGAACAAGATCGGGAACGTCAAAATCTGCTTGCTTTGTCACTACTATCTGATGGAGAGAGACTGACTGAAGTCCACACTAAACTGAAGCATTTTTTTTAGATCCTTAAAATATTTTAAGTTTGGCTGTGGTTATCATCACCCAGTCAAAAGACTGTAAATTAAATCGCAAGAAATAAAATACACGGATACTCACATCTGAAAAAGGAAGGCATCCCTTTTGAGCCTCCACCCACAAACTGGAGAAACCTCCTCTAATTTGTGTCTTGTGAGCAACCTCCCACCCTCTCTCTGTGTTCCCAATCAGTCCCACACGCAGCGAGCGGCAGAGACCCCCTTCAGTGGCCGCGGCTCCCCAGGGCCCCCCGGGGCTCTCGCTGGCTCCCGTCCCCACCAGCACTACAAACCCACTCCACTTTACTCCAGTTTCCATAGGCAGACGTATGCTATTTCTGCTGCACGGATGCCAGAGCACAGGGCAGCCCATCTGCCCAAAGCACCCGCTCTTCTACGCACGCTGAAAAGGCTCCAACAGCAGCATTTAGCTGAGCTGCTCCACGCTGCCAGATCGGGAGCTTTCTACAGAAAGCAAACAGATTTTCGCAAGAGTAGTGCCATAACCTGGCAAAATTTAGAAAGATTCCCCTCTGCATCTCCTGGCGACTCGTTTCTCCCTCTCCTCAGCCCGGGTCTCGGCGGCAGAGGGTCTGTGTGTGGCAGCTCGGGTGGAGAGGTGCAGTCTGTATTTATAGGATGCCGGGTCTGCGCTAGCACACGCTGACAGCACGAGCCTCCATTTTGAGCCTCGTGTTTAAAACTGTATTTTAGCAGCTACATCTCAAAGTTCGTTTCCTGACAGATGCACTCCCCTCTGCTTTCTCCCTTCCTTCCCTTCTCCCTTGCAAATTCCTAATACTCCTGCCCTTCTCCCCATAAAACCTGCTCACGTGTTTTGCCACCTTAATCCCAGAGCCTTGCTCCTTTTCCCCCTCCTTGCTCACTCATGTTTTGTAAGCACTTAGAGGGCAGTTTTTATCTACAACTCTTTACACAAGCGCCATTTCCCCCCTAAAGTACTATTTTATAACACACACACCCCAGGCATACTGCATCCCACAATAAAGACTGGCGGCAAAACTCATCAAGAACGAGTAACTCGGGTTAAGACAGAGACCAGGTCCTCTTCACAACTAAGAGCTACTCAGGAATAGCGGTACGTGCCACAATCATATCTCCATTCAGAATAATAACAGAATTTCAGCTGTAACCGTAAATCACATCTTGTAAGTATCAGGAGCCAAAACCTTTTCTTCGCCTGGGCCAAGAACGGGGGGAGCAAGCTGATGGTTTTGCTGGAAATGGGAACAGTTTGGTATTGACACAGTGGGTTCTCTGCATCGGCCACCACCAGCGAGCTGAGCTGAAGCGCTGCGTGTAAATTTCTATGTCTATTTCTGAGTTTGGCTGTTCATTAAGGCCCCGTTCTGCCCAACAATTCTGGGAGGGCTCAGGGCAGAAGGGGCACACGCAGGCACACGGCGGGGCCTAAACCCCATACCGTATTTAGCGGCTCCTCTTTGAATATGGTGTGAAAATATTCAGAACACTTTCAAACTACTCGGGGTCTTTACTTCATGTGTCTTATAAAGGTAACATAACAATAGGGACGTGAGCTTTTTTATTTTGTGTTATACTGACCACAATTCCTGACAGCTACTGTCAGAGTGCAGCAGCCGAACTATCACTTTAAAGCACACACACGCAGATGACCTCACAGCCATCACTAAACACCCGAAAATTTTTATTTACAAATATCCAAACTATTTCAGCCACCAAAACTAAAGAAAACAGGAGGAATATCCAGGCGAGTGCATCATGTTTGTTTTCTGAAATTCTGCCTCTGATGAAGTAACCCCTCTGATGACAAACGGCTCCTACGTATCTATTAATGCTCTTCAGCCTGAAACGTGGAAGTTCAAGACCTTCCCAGGAGCTGAAGTGCAGATCACCCTGCCGAAGGTTCCTGCGGGAGCCCTGGCAGACGCCCGGGTGCTGCAGGTGCTGCCGTAGCCACACTCGCTCTCCATTTACCTTAACCCTCTTTCCCCAAATTAGCGTTTGAAGGATTCTAGTGGTGAGAGCACGCTTCCAAGCTCACAGCCTTCAGAGGCCGTCCCCCCCGAGCGGGGCCGCCGGGCAGAGCCCCGCCGCCGGGCCGAGGCCTACCCCTGCGGGGAGACCGGGCGGCAGGCTCCCGGCGCCAGCCTTGTTTTAAAACGCTCCTCGGGCACGGCCCGTCCCACACGCGTTTTCTCCTTCTCTCGGGTAACGACGTTCGGACCTTCCCCTTCCTCGGAGCCGTAACCCGCACTTCTAACCCATCTCCGGGAAAGCGGGACACCCGCGGCTCGCCCGAACCGGCCGCCGGCACCCAGCCCCGGCCGCGGGCAGCCCCCGTTACCGGGGGCCGGCGGGAGGACTGAGGAGCCGGCG